GGTTCACCAATGTGAGAGAATAAAATTTTTCTGTAAGTATCTTGTTTATGTGTGTGTTTTTTTTAAATGGTGGTCACTTGGAAGTCAGAATTTGGAACTGGATCACATGACCTGAGAAGTTTTTCTTGGATGCGCAAAACACTTTAAATGTGGCTTGACTTTCCAACAAGCAGTTATTAAAACTCTGCTGTTCATTTTCCTATCAGGTCTGCACATGATATATACTACAATTTCATGGTGGCTCAGTGGCTAAGATGCTGAGTTTCTCGATCAGATAGGTCAGCAGTCCTGCAGTTCGAATCCCTAGCACCTCGTAACAGTGTGAGTCCCGTTACTTGTCCAAGTTTCTGCCAACCTAACAGTTCGAAAGCATGTAAAAATGCAAATAGAAAAAATAGGAACCACCTTTGATGGGAACAGCATTCTATGCAACATTCTTGGCATTTAATCATGCTGGCCATCTGACCATGGAGATGTCTTCTGACAGTGCTGGCTCTTCAGCTTTGAAATTGAGATGAGCACTGCCCTCTAGAGTTGGGAACGACTACCACATATGTGCAAGGAGAACCTTTACCTTACCTTTACAATTTCGCAGGTTGCTTGGATGTGTCTATTGCTAGAATCTGATCTGGAGTTTAGGCAAACAGCAATATATACGCTGCTGACCAAATAACAGCAAGCAAAGGAGATTTGTGTTTCTGAAGGGCCCATTGAAGAAAATAAGGGGATGGGAATTTGAAGAGGAACTAATTCTTGAAGACTTACAGAATACTGTAAACTTAAATAATGTAAAACCCATGAATGATTACATATTGATAGCTCGCTAACTTTGTTTCTGAAAGCAAATAAACAAAATTGATGATAATTGGCATGAGTCCAGAGAGATTGAAAAGCATGGCAGACCAGTGTCAGCTCCATAAACTATACAGTTTAGAATTAAGGATTAAAATGTACAATATTGATGCATAAAACCAGAATGTTTAGAAGAGACACAGTCTTTCAATGCCTTTTTTTATGAGGCTACTAAGAGTTAATTTATGGATGTGGGTGAAAACCCCCTAACACATCCCTTATATATAAGAGGATTATTGTAACTTCTACTTAGTGAAGATGTTGAGAATTGCAAAGACGACAAAAGCAAAGATGGGAAATTGAGCATGTGCCTCTATCAGTAATTAGTAATGATAGGTTCAGATTGAGTTGAGAAATTGGTGAATTGATGTCAGTTTTTTTCCAAAGGAGGAGGGATACTACTTCACCATTCAAAGGCCTCACAAGTTAAGAACAGTGTTATATTAAATCGTCAATGAGTCTTCATGGTAGTAAAATAATGGGAAGAACACCTTCTTTTCTCCAAAATAGATGCCTATTTGGTCACTGATACACTTTCTCCAGTAAAAGAATAGAAGAGCCATAGACATAAAGGGCAGAGATGGTAGTACATGATTGGACACAATAGCATATTTCCAACAAAAAGTTGGATACCACAGATTAAGTGTCTAAACACCTAGGAAACTGAATAATCGATTCCTCAAAGTCTGATATTTACATAAAGATTGTTTGTATGTACAAAAAAGAATCCCTTGATTATTGTGAAGATTTACATAAATCCATTGGGCATTAATCTAGTGGGCATGCATGAAAAAAATAAGAATATGGGGAAGGGTGACCTCTGGAGGTTTACTTTAGCAAAAAAGTGGACAATTTCAGAATTTGCTGGGGATAAAAAGGTTTCATTGACTGTTGTGCTCGTGATAGAAAGGTTCAGGTAGTGAACATACCTGTTTGGTATAACTTTTAAATTACTCCAGCTCAATGTGGAAAATTCTCACTATCAAAGTGAGAATCCTAAATACAGTTCTTGATGTCTTTAGATCTCAGTCATACATATCTACATAAAGTGATTGTTTTGCTTAAAATTTGGAAGTACCTGAAGAATAAAAACTACAGAGTTCTGGAATGCCAACAATCCACTTCTTCAAAACTGTAGTATTTGTACATTAGATTTGTTATTCAACCTATGTGCAATCTTTACATATATATCTGACAACTTGCTACTTTTATATATAAGATAATGGTACGTAGCATAGAGCCTTTTATGCAGTAATATCAGTCTTTCAATCTTTCTTTCTAGTACTTTCTGGAACATTACAGTGTATCTGATCATCTCCAGCAAAGGATTCTCAAACTTTCTCATATATATTTTCAATATTTAAAAGTTAGAGGTGTAGGTAAGGATTTTTACCATAAATATGCTATGACTCTACTTGAAATATCATTTGTCATTCTCAAAATGTGTATGGATGTGTTACATACACACATTCACACCCACATTCAAACATACTGTACACACACACACAACTCTTTTTAGGGATAGAATACTATTGCAAAAATAGAGTTAAATAGAATAGGGTACACTCAATACACTAAACTACAAAAAAGAAGAGAGATAGAGAGGGAGAGAGGGGAAAGAAAGAAAGAAAGAAAGAGGGAGGGAGGGAGGGAGGGAAGGAAGGAAGGAAGGAAGGAAGGAAGGAAGGAAGGAAGGAAGAAAGGAAGGAAAGTATAGTTATGTGAGAGAAGTACATACAATTTTTAGGTTATTTCCAATTCTACGATTCTATGATTCAAAGTAAATGATGAAGAAAGGATGATTCCCAAAATCAAATCCATATCATATTTATCATTCCAGAGAAGTTATATGGTCGATTTTTTGAACTAGTTTATATGGTATTAAAGGTCAATATGAGTTTTTTTTACCAAGAATACTGAGTTTGTTGATAATGATGAATTCAGTGTGATGAGGAAAATGAAAGATGGAGCAGGTAAGTATGTTAAATAGCTATTTGGTTAGAAAGAATTCTTCTTAGAGAAAACATGAACAGAGAGTGATTATAACTGATACAGACAAAGTATGTTTGGAAATGTTTTGCAACAATATGCAAGAAGCATATTATTCACGAAGAACTATTATATATTAAGCTTATTCCAGCTTATACATAAGCTCAACATATTGAACTAATAAAAATTCTCCCTTATCCATTGACTCTTCATTGGTAGTAAACTAAAACTCTCACTTCCCTATGAAATTCCCTGGTTCCAAATTTATTTTGTAACATCATTAAGAAAGAACCTATAAATATATAATAATACCAACTGATATAATGTTTAAAAATGCATAGATGATATTTTTTTCTTATTTCAATATCTAAAAAATGGAATTCTTTTCTTTGTGTGTGTGTATCTCTGTGTCTATCTATCTATCTATCTATCTATCTATCTATCTATCTATCTANCAAGAAGATACCCTTTCCAAAGGTACATTTTTATCACGGTACTTTCTGTTTCTTGTCTTTTGAAGTGTCTAAACTTAAAAGTTTACATTTTGGTTTCAAATATATTGCTTGTTCTCTTTGTAACATTCCATAAATATACTTGAAATGTTATTTAAATATATTCAGAAGAAATTTTGACCTTGTCTATATAATTGTGAATATTGGAATTATATATTGGAAAAAAATGCACTTGAGATACACTGGATAATTACTTTTTGTGATTTAAATTTCTGTTGTTGATTTTATTTAATTACAAATTAATAAATACAAGTAAAAGAAATACGGCAAAGCTTTCAGTGCTGGATTCAATATGGGATGGTAACTGCATTTCCCAAGGCACGTAAGTTAAATCTCCGGTGGCATTTTACTTATGGTTTTATTTAAAAGGGATAACAGCCCCAAAACGGGTCTCAGACCCCATCAACATCTGCCACACAGGACGGTATGGTAATTAACCGAGTAACATTTTTACAACCTCTTAGGAAATAAATCTGCTCAAGGATTTACTAGACTGCATTAACTTGGCTGCCTATTTTTCTCAAAATCTGTGCCTCTGGAGGCCTAGTTGGCCACAAAATTAGCACTTCAAGAAAAGGGAGGGAAACCTGTGAAATTTATACAGAAGGCAAAGGTCTATCTAACAGCCCCATGGTTATGGTTCATTTTTCCTTCAACTTAAAGCCCATTACGCTGGTCATCAGCCAGTCGCAATTGGGAAAGGAAAGCTCCGGCTTCTGCGGACGCCGAAGGTGCCTGGCCACATCCACCAGGGCTTCAGCGCTACCCTTGTAGGCAGAGAAGCCGGGGGACAAGTCTTTCTTCCTGAGGTAGATCATGCTTAAACCCAAGGGCCAAAATCAGAGGGAGTAAACAGCTGCGAAGTGAACCGCAGCTACTCTGGACTCCACTTTCAAGAACCAAAAGGTGAACAACAAATCCCTACTGAAATGCAGCCTACTTTGCTACACCATCACAGTCTGTGTGGCACCTTTTCTTTTCTAAACCCGCGTTAATGAAGGTTTAGAGAAAGCATTTTACGGACATGACTTCCAGACACACAATTACCCCTTCCACACTCTTCATGCCATGTAAGGGCGGGGGGGGGGGGAGGGGGAACGAACACGGCTCCTGCTTTACGGAATCGCTGCTGCTGGTTGAAGGCAGAATTCTCTCTGCTTCCGCTCTTCGGAAAATTGAGCGGCATCCTGGCTCCACTTTCAAAACCAAGCCCTCCTTTCAACAACCCCTCCTTTCCCTCTGGAGCGCAACCCCTCCCGCCGAAAATCAGGTCTTCGAAACAGGGCGGTTTATTTTCTTTTGGTTCTAAGGAAGCGCCTGGTCTGCAGTAGTTGTATGTTCTAGGATCGGGTCTGCAGTGTGTGGACCCTCCATTACCTCCAGGGCAAAATCAGTTGGCTTAACAGCGAAAACTGCCCACATTCGCTCAAAGACCCCAGGCTGGCAGGATTGGGTGGGTGGGGTGAGACTGATAAAATGAAAGGTCGAAGTAATCGTGGATTTTATATTCATTATAGCTGTAAGGATCCAGAAGGAAGGAAGGGGAAAGAGAAGGAGCATCGGACGGTTCCTCCGCCCCTTCAGCCTTCTTCAAGCGAGAGTTGTAGCAAACCACCCGCCGCTCTCCCTTCCCGGCGCTTTACTCACTTTTGGGTCGATTTTCTTGAAGGCCGAATCATCCTCGTCCACCTCGAAGTAGATTTCCGTGGTGGTAATGGAGAGAGTCCCTTTGGCCACTATCACGGGGGCTATCAGCTGCGCCGGTGTGCTGAGGACCACGGGCCCTGCAAGACAAGAGCGGCGACGTCAGGATGCGGCAATTCGGAGGCATGTGCCCTGCTCCGTTTCCTTTGCCGAAAATGAAAGCACAGCTTTTGTACTCGGGGGGACAAGGCGCCAGCAGGCAGGTTGCTGCGGGTTTCCTAAAGCGGGACCCTGCGCTGCCCCAAAAGGTGTTCCGACCCAGGACGGCGGGAGAAGAAACAAGATTGCCTGGGTCTTCTAAACCCCCAACTCAATGCGAGACCTCGGACTCTCCAAGACTGAGCGATCTGTTTGGGAAGTGTTCTTTCATAGGAAAATAAATCATAACCGAAAGTGTTTTATGAATCCGGGATATTTAAGTATCTTATCAAAACGAGTTAGTAGTCCCACTGAAGATGACTAGAGTAAAATCAGGGTTGCCTTTAATTGTGCTTCTTTCCCTCCAAATATCTTTTAGTTCCAAAATCAGTTCATTAGTGTCCTATCGGCAAGAACGTGTTTTAATTTTTATTATTATCTCTCACTTTAGTCAAGGCTCATTTTCAACGCTATACAACCATTTGCAAGGCTTCTGATACTGTTGTTTGTTTGTGTGGATGTGCTCACATATTTGGGAAAAAAGTAGCTATTATTACAGTACATTGTGAAAAAAAAAATCACAAATCGATTTTTCTCCCAAGATGCCAGAAATATTCTCTTAGCCGCCATCATTTAATTTCTAAACAGGCTGTCTTAGGCTGCGACCTTTCCTGGGACTAAGCTCAACAGGACTTACTTCTGAGTAAAAAAGGAAATATTGGCATTAAAATCTTGTTTCTGGCAGAAATATTTTTAAAACAGGAGGCCATCAAAAATAACTGAGCAATTAAATAATAATTTGATTTCCTGAACATAAAAGACAATTTTGACAGAAATATGTGCCGATTTCAATAAGTCTTGTTTCCAAATAAACGTGAGCAAAATTTTTATCTTATAGCAATAGAATCTTGAAACTAAGCAGTAGATATTTCTAACAATTGTAAGAATAGGAAAATGCTTTACAGAATTATTCTCGGATAAGATAGCAATGATTATCCAATAACATGTAAATATCGCAAAACAACAAGAGGGAATCAAAGCCCAAGGATTTCGTTATGTCATTGTATTATATGATATATTCCATCTATGCATAACTTATTAAAAAACTGAGATAAGGATCAGGATCAAAATTAAGGTGTAATCCTAAAATGAAATGGATAAATAAATCCATTCAAGAAATCCGAAATAAACTAGAATAACTAAGTATTGCTCAATGAAAGCACTTCTTCCTGCCAGTATTCTTAGTCTGGGGAGCAGGGGGGTGGAATCAATTTTCTAATGTGTTCCTTTCAAATGTGGGTCTCTCTGCCAGCGGCCGAGTTAAGTTGCCAGCCACCCCATCGCCTTACTTTTCTGACTAAAGTTGGTGATGGCCTGGGCTCACAGCCGCAATGGAGCACTCCCTCTTCGCATACCCACGGATTTCTGGAGGCCCACTTCTCGCCACCCACTTAACTCGCATGTACCCTCCAGCTGCTTGACGTGAGTGGCTCAGCCCTGATTTCCGTGCTAACTTCCCTCCTAGAGGCAGGCATCGCCTCCCCCCCCCCACCGCCCGCGTCCCTTTGCAGAGTCCAAAGCAACGCTCCGTTTGTCGCCTATGACAGCTTTCAGGCAAGCCCACCAGGGGCTGGATAATATTGATACAAACTCTATTTTCTTTCATTTTCTTGTTTTTCTCTCTCCTAATAGGCCACCCTGGCCTCTTGACCCCAGTCAGCTGATCGGATCACATGCGCTGGGCTCGGCTGGCTCTCTCTCCCCCCGCGTCGCCTCCCAGTTCTCCCTCCCCGCGCTCGGCGGAGCGCTGTCCTGGCGCGCCGCTGGGCAGGCTGCCGTTACGGCCGGGCTCCTGCTAGGGGCAGGGGATCGATCCGAAACGGCGCTTTAAAGGCTCATCAATCTTAATCTAGGTTGCTCAAGTAATTATGCGCGATTCTCTCGTGCGATTACAAGTGGATTTGGGCTTGGATTCCCTAGGCTCTTTCCTTTGTGTTTAGCGGCAAGAGAAGCTCTCCAGACAGCAGCGCCCTGCCTGCCCTGCCCTACTCTCCCCGCGGCGACCCGCCTCGCTGGTTCCTCTACCCGGGGCTCTTTAACCCTTCCTGGCCGGCTGCCTCTCGCAGCGCTCGGCTTTTCAGGCCCCAGCGCCAAAAGAAAAGGGCGCTAAAGATGATGCAGTTCGGGAGCTGCCTGATAGTCTATCATTATAAGAAGGCGTTTAGTGGGATTCTCTCGTTCCCAGAAGAAAGATCGGGTACTTAACCCAATTACCTCCCGGTTCTCCGCTTGTTATATGAACCAAATAAAAATGAAGCGATTGGTAGTTGGTGGTCAGAAGGCCAAAGCCTATAACACCAAATCTTTTCCGAAAGAAGGTTAAAGTCTTTTGTGGGCGAGGCGCGAGCACAACGGGGGGAAAAGGGAACCATGAAAGAATGGTTCAATATTTAAAAGGCTCGACTTGCTAAAACTGATGCTGGGAATAAATGAATCAGGAAGATGTGGCCATGCGCAAGAGAGGCCAACAAAGCCACCCCCTTAAAAAAGACTGAACCTCGTGAAACCCAAGGCAGGCCTGAACAAAAACAACCACGGAATTATTAAACCCGGCGTTTTTATTTAAGCACGCGGTGTTTCCATTAGCACGTCTATCTCAGATACCAACACAACAGTGCTCCTATTTCTGGAGGGCCACTCCTATCTATTGGGGCCAGAAGAAACACTGACTCCAGCCTCTACCAGTGTTTTTCAACCTTGGCCACTTGAAGATGTCTGGACTTCAATTCCCAGAATTCCCCAGCCAGCGAATGCTGGCTGGGGAATTCTGGGAGTTGAAGTCCAGACATCTTCAAGTGGCCAAGGTTGAAAAACACTGCTCTAGTCCAACCCCTTGCTTAGGCAGGAAACCCTACGCCTTCAGAGAAATGGCTCTCCAACATCTTCTTAAAGACTTCCAGTGTTGGGGCATTCACAACTTCTGGAGGCAAGTTGTTCCATTGATTCATTGTTCAGGAGAGAGTTATCAGATTATATCAATACCGTACATGAAATCAAATTGATAATTGCTAATG